GATCTATAAAAATTCTCGTGACTTATTTCCACTTCTGTGAGAAAACTACTATTTCCATGATCAGCTTTAACGTGAAAAAAGTTACAAGTATTCACATCTAAATAGGAACAAAAGAAAAACTACAAGTGCTTAGAATTAAAGCCTGAAAGAATAGTTTGGCGTCAGACCCGTGTTTGCATATGTTTAAAGGGCAAGTACTTAAAGCTGGAATAATCTTATCAAAAACTGAAAACAGTCTCTAAGGCCAGACTAGAACTATAAAATAACAGCATACGGGTGCTAACTGAGTACCAGATTTTGGCAGAGGCATGTCAAATGGCTGCTAGGACAGCTGATCTTGACCCATATCCTCTCCCCCAGTTCATGTCTGGTATCAGTCACTGACAGCGTTCATTGTGATCCGGCTGCGCAACAAGGCGAGATATGACCTATCTTATTTATCTCTGTCACAACTTGAGCTCTGTTCACCAGAAATGATGGAAGGCAACAACGCCTGAAGGATGCAGGCCCGGTGACACTGAACACATGGTCGACTACAACATTGTTCTGGATTTGCCTTGGTATGAAAGAAAAGGCAGTCAAAAGGAAGCACACGTATATCAATTCATGTGGCAAAGATAGATAGCATAAAACAATGAAGATCACTAAACCTTTCATTACATATTAGCTCTGTGATCAGCAAGTAAGCACTAACTATTTAATTAGTCAACTAATTAGTGACAGGCAACATGGAAGGCTTCAGATGTTCTCAGACAAATGCAAAGATAAAAAGCCTAATTAAACAGCAAGCATTATGCTAACGATTGCCAAACGGGACAGATGTGCAGGATATTGTAGAATACTGTGCTGCCAGATAACGGCAGTTGTAGCTCCTCTGTCAGAACCCCAGTTTTAAAACCCCCTGCCATTTCTAAGCTAGTCTGAGACACCTTTAACTCACAAAGGGAGAAACCATCCTGCAGACAAAAACTCAGGTTTACTGTGTTAGATCCCAGTTCTGCTTCAAGAAAAGAGTTCAGGGCTTTGACAAAAATGTGCTTTAATCCATTTGCTTTTTAAATGCAATAACTATTTTAAAGCACCCACATGGAAAGGGAAATACACGACAGTTTCATATAAAATATTGTGATCTTAGCCACCACTTGTTTACTGCTATTTTGTGTAGCACATTATGTATATTTGCAGCGTCCTCTGTGAATAAGTCATTGTTTACACCAGAGGTTGGATTAAGGAGGTTTTCAAAATCATGGATTAAAAAGGGTTTTCCCTATAATCAGAAGACAATAACGCTTTCCACAGCTATATGCAAAGAGGTGGATAAAAAGCTAATTGGTTCACTACCCTGGAACCAATGACAAGATACTGCTGTGAGCGAGGTTTTTGCCTTCTTGCAGCCAAACTTCCATCACCTGCTGTCAGGGCATACTAGTCAGCATGCTGTTCTGTGAATCCTTCGCCAGAATAAACCAAAAACGCTGGGCTTTTAGTTCTGTGTTCTTTCAGCCTAATGCTGCTGCCACGATCATCATCCTTACGTTATCACAGCACAAAACAAAGAAACAAACAAACAAAATTAGTATTTAGCAGTGAGGTTATTCTTTAAAGCACTTGGGGATAGGAAAAGATTAAAAAGCTGGGCTACAGCTTATGTTCAGC